TTTGCTCCAGGAGTGGCATTCCTCTAGTTTGGACAGTACGAGAAAGCGTTGCATCAGTTTAAACAAGGGTGTGGTTCAATATATCCATTTTCAGTGGTGAAACTAGTCCAGGAAGTTCCTGTCCCCATACCACGTGCTGGGGAGCTGGGCCACAACATGCAGTTCCACAACCAGTTTTATCGCCACACCTGAAGAGGTGTTTCATGGCAGTGCAGGGAGACTCATTGACTGGAATTGCTTCTGAATCCACTGAAAACATGGTACTGCCTCTTCATGCTATTTCAACAGATGTAGATGAACAGATGTTCAAAATACTGTAAATACCATCACAGAAACATTTCAGAATTTGAGAATCAAGGGGCGTCCTTGGCCATGCTGGCAGATTTGCCCACTTTTATCCTTGCCCCAGGCTGGGACCCTGTCTCGTCCTGATACATAAACAGATCTAAACTCCTGGAGTTAAATGTAATATTTTTTTATGTAGAAAAGCGAAAAACTATATATGTATTTTGCTAAAGTAGCACAATGCCTTACAGCTGTTAGTGACACTTGCCATGGCTTATTTTGGTTATGTATAGGCTCTTTGGAGACTTCTATGTGAGAGTAGCTTTGCAGATCTACTCCAAACATGGGCATTGTTGTGCGTACCATTGTGCTGGAGGAGCGCAGTCCCAATCAGATGGCTTCTCTCCTGGGACAGCCTGGAACAGTACTGCAAGCAGGTCAGCTAGCACAAGTAGTTTCAGTAACTAGCGGGGGAATTCCTGTCCTGCGTTTTTATCTGCAGTGACTCCCTTGCTGCCAGTAGCGGGTACGGCTCTGGATGTGAGGAGAATCAGCTTTGCAGGATTAAATTCAGATGGCTGTGAATGCAGCGTTGTTGATTTCAGCACATGGCTGAGCTTACAAGTCAGTGGCGTTTCTTTGCTGCAAAGTAGAGCAGAAGTGTTTGAATGTCGCACCCAGTTGCATGATTTCAGGGAACAGTTGAGGTATTGGTAGAGAGATATATAGTGACCAATGAAGGGGGAGAAAACAGAATTTGGTTAGCAGCAGCAATTATCTTAGATTTAAAAAAAACCCAGTTGGTGGTAATGATTAACACATTCCAACAAAATGATACAGCTTAGCTGATTCTCCCATTCCAGTTGTAAAAAGTTGATATTCTGAAAGAAAACATGAACACTCATGGCGAAGAGCGATACAGGTGGGAGACCTGGCACGGACCAAAGGTCTGCAGAGGAAAAGATAACAGAGCTACAGATGGTATTGGGGTGAATTGAAGACCCTCCTATAGAAGAATAGAGCAGGGTGAGAGATGCAGAACTCAGAGGGTTGTGGGAAAACACGAAGACACTGAGATGTGCAAAGTCACAGGTTTGTACAAAATAAACTGGGAGGAAGGAGGTTGATGGGTGAGAGGAGGAAACTTCAGGAACATGGGGAAATAAATAAGAGGGCACATATGTCTGTTGCCATTGGTCAGGGGGTGGTATTGAGACCAGTTCTTTGGCATAATGGAAGGTCTGAGTAGTTTCAGAAATGTCCTGAAACCAAAAGTGGCACAAAAGGACACGTGGTGGGAAACCAGAACTAATACAAAAATGACGGAGAAACAGTTACACTGATATTGGCAAAGGGGCTGGAAATTAGACAGATGGACAGCAGGCAGGAAACAAGAAGGAATATCAGAGGGAAGATATACAGCATGGGTGTGCTGGGAGGAGCCTTGAGAGGTCGTCATGCCCCGAAGTGCCCTAGTACATTCCTGTAGGTAACAACACTGATGTCATCTGGAAGGTGACACTTCATGCAAAGTCTATGCTTAACCAGGCCTGGGGATAACAGCCAGGGAAAAGCAGCTGGAACAGGAGTACACAAACACCAGGAGCCTGGGCAACACAACACAGGAACCTGAATGACTGGTGCATGTTGTCAGACCAGATACTGCAGGCATGAAAGAAAGAGGGTGGAATGGGAACTGGGACTGGAACACAGGCATTTTAGGGAATGTGTTACCCAAGAAAAAGAAAAGGTAATGGCACTGCAGTAGCAATTAGCAGCGAGCAGCTTCCAAAATAAATAAATAAATAAAACACAGATTAATCAAGAACCCAAAAGACGTAATGGGAATTAAAAATAGTTTTATGGTACAGCTTAACCTATGAAAGGGGTTACTATACCTAATGGCAGCCTGCAGTAGCAATAAGGTGGGGAGTCTGGTGCTCTCTGATAGCGACAAGATAGGATAAGACAATAAAGCACAAGAGGGAAGGAAAAAAGAAATGTATAAACCAGAACACAACAAAGGACAACTAAAGGAACAGGTACTCATCCAAAAATTGTTCTCACAAAGACAAGGACTGCATCTCAAAGCCAAGCAGGCATTGGCAAGGAAACCATCTAGAATGGATGATGAAGTTTCACTGAAAGATGACCAGCCAGCCAGCCATGCGCTGCCCAGCACACTCCAATGTGAAGTCATTTCAGAAATGTACTTCTGAACTTCTTTACTAAAGTACGAAGGGTTTGTTGTTTTTTTTTTTTTTTTAAGAAGAAGTTGCAGTAAACTAAGACCTGAAAGGGAAACTGTACAAAGAAATTCTCTACACCATTGAATCCTTCTGCTCCAAGCTCGACAAAGGTCACCAAGCAAACTCCCTGTGTGAGGACCAACCCTGCTCCCCAGATGCTGAGTACAGCAGCTGATCAGCTGCAGCCACTCCTGAGGGGACACACGCCAGTGTTCCACTTTGCATATGTTTTGCTCAATGCATCAGAAAGACGGGAGACAAATGCACAAAGAAAACCAGGTGCTGTAACCCTCCAACAAAAGGGGCACAATTAGCTGGGGTGTTTCCTGATTCACGTGGCCAATTTCAGCTACTGCTTTTAAAACTGGAGGAATTAATTTGCTGTCTTTACGTCTCAAGTTGCAGTATCTGCTATCAGTGAATACCATTTTTGAAATCTTGTACCAAAAAGGGAGAAAATTACTCCAGCCACCCTCTGTCATGCAAAGGTTGCTTATTGAAGCGCATAAGTTATCAAGCAGGACTTTGGTGGCAGTCCCTGCAAAGAAACCCGCGCTACACTGAACTGCAGCAGGGCAGGACAAGGGAGCCGGGCGCTATGTGGACTAGTCGGTAGCTGGCAGGATCCCCAGCGCTTGTGAAACACATCCTCTCCCTTCCTGCCTGTCCTGGTGTGAGCAACACAGGATTAATTTCTCTTTCAGTAATTTTACTTTTCAGTAAGTTCTCTTCTAATGCTAGGAAAAACTGCAGTTTTAGAAGACTCTAGTGTCTGAATTTATGAAAATATTTACTTTATAGCCAGCTGTGCTATGTGGGTTTCAAGGTCTCAGTGTTCTCGAGCTTGCTAGTTGCAGGGATGAGGAGGAGACCTGAGCATTTGACCCAAGCTGGTCAACAGGATTATTTCGTACCATGAACATCACATTCAATATAAATTAGAAAGTTTGCTGAGGAGTTTCTTCTCTTCTACGATGGCTGTGATCCTGAGAACTTCTTGCCCCCGGGTCGGACCCCTGAGGCCTTCCCTTCCTACAGGAGCTATAGCGCTCACAGTGTCCCACATTTGCTGTATACTGCTGGGAGTGCACAGCTCCTACTGATAGAATTGGCTGAGTATAATCTTTGTGTATTTTATATTGGTACTGGGATCAATATTGGTTCCTTAGTATTACTAATGTTAATTATTTAGTATTACTCTATTAAATCTGTTTATATTTCAACCCTCGGGTTTCCTTGTTTTTTCCCCAATTCCCCTTCTTGGGTGGGGAGGGGTCATCAGGTAATAGAATCATTGTGTAAATGACAATAAATTGTTGTGGATTCTTCAAACCATAACACTGCAAAACCAACAAATGTGCACGCGTTAATAAAAGGTGGTGCAAGCTGTGAACCTCCACCAGGACAAGGAATGGCAATGGAGAAAAGCATGATGTGCACCATCTCAGTAAAAATTTAGAGAAGCATCATCACAATGAAGTTGGAAATACTCAACCAGGGTCTTAAAGAACTAGGTGTACTACAGGATTTCCTTGAGGAAAGTTAGTGTTACTTGTTTACCCTACATTCAGTGACGTTTTGGGTTATTAGTCATGAAAAAAATCGGGTTTTGGGCAATATGCATTTAAAACATAAGTTTCGCAGTGAAACAATGATCACCAGAAGAGAGGTTTCTGTCACACGGACCAAAATCACCACAGCTCATGGAGAGAAGACTGCGACAGCCAAACCGGCCAGCACCTAGCACGGGACTAGACCAGCCGCGCCGCGGCGGTGCAGGAGGTGTCGTGCCGCTGTCTCCGGCGCGGCAGAGGACAAGGCTCCACCGTCCGCAGCCCGCCCGGCTCCCCCGGCAGCAGCTCCTCCCGGCGGCCCGGCCGCTGCGGCCCCC